TTCAGGGAATATCCAGGCCAGTATTGTCAATGAATCCTTTGTATCCAGTTTACCATTGTTTGGGAACTCGATAAAACTGTCTGGTGCTCCAAGAAATGACAGAGAGCCACCTTCTTTATTATAAGGCCCTTGAGCAGTTGTGACGTAGCTTTTCACGCCAGCAAGGTTTCCGCCAATCACATCTGTTGCCCCGTACCTCTCGTTCAATGGGAACAGCGCAACTGGTCGGACGTTAGCTAAAGTATACGAGACAGATAAAGAGTATGATTCAAGTGTAACATGTTAAAGCAGCTAGAAGGGAAAACTCCAAGTGCCAGAATGTTTTGATTACTATCACGGCTTAGTTACCAAATTTTTAACTAGGTAGGCTGTCAAAAAGTCATCACTCACTGAGCTAGGGTCACAACTATATGAATGATTAACAAATAAAGTTTAAGGCGTAGCAATGAGTTTTGATCTCGTATCTTAAGCTTTCTTGTCAAGGTGAACCTTTCATTTTAGTACCTCAAAATCTTTAAAATACTTTCTCTGATATAAAAAACTTACCTGAAGTGTTACCGGAAATAACATCTTTAACAAGATTATCTTCCGTACCCCACACATCTGTGCCTTGCTTCGGCGTCAGAACAACTTTTCCGATCTTTACCATCTTCTTTCCACTTGAGATAACTTTGCCTCCCGAGCTTGAGCTTCCACCTTTCGCGGTTACTATTCTAGAAGAACTACTTCCTGAACTAGAACTGCTACCTCCACCTTTCATTGATATCGGGGAGCTACCGCCTAAAATGGAACCGCTACTTCTACCTTTAATTGACATTGAGGAGCTTCCTCCCGAACTAGAACTACTACTTCCAGCGCTCGAGGAAGTCCCGCCAACTTTTAATGTGCTTCCTCCTCCAGTAAAGCTGCTCCCTCCACCTGTAATCACACTGGATCCTCCTGTGGTTGATCCAACAGTTACACCTTGTGAGGAGCTTCCCCTTTCACTGGAGCCTCCTGTGCTTGATCCACCTGTTACTCCTTGTGAGTAGCCACCGCCTCCAGTAGAAATGCTCCCTCTGCCTACCGTTTCCATGAAGGTTCATGGAAAAGAGGAAAAATAGAAGCATATGTCCGTCTTATCTTTCCCATACTTGCTAACTGAATTTGTTTCTCCATGCAGCAACAAAGACATACTTCATGCACACTAAAAAAGTTCAAGCTAACTGAGAATCTTTGATGGGGTCGTGTTTTATGACGTTTTTTCTTTTCGCCGTCGCAACACGAAATTTGCTTTGTAGAATAGAGACAATTTATAAGATATCATACTCTAAATATCAGGAGAATACACTGAGGGAGATAAGAAATGGCGGTATAGGGAAGTCAGTGCAACTGAAAGACGTTGTATCTTAACGTTCAAAGACAGGAAATATGTCGGCTATTTATGTTTATGCAGATACCATAACTATGTTCTACTTAAACTTACGTGAGGCCTGAACTGTTCCTCCTGCCGCTGATGGATTAAATTATAAATCATTATTTATAATAATGTTATATTTATAATAATGTAATATAAGACGAAGGTATACGAGAGAATAACTTGTTAATTTGAGAAAAATCCAAAATACAAGTCACAAAGAAAACAAATACTTAAGCAAATCTTTTCGTAACTCATGTTCGATTCCTTGAATGCAGCAAAAGCTTTGGTTTCTAGCAAGGCTACCTTTTTAGTTAAACAGCCCAATTATCGAAAAATCTTGGCTATGATAAAGAATGGCCGAAATCAGCTTGAACATCTGAGAAACTTTATAGACTGCGGTTAGGTTGATGTTGACAAATAATACACCAAATAGACACTGTTTTAACGCTCAGTCGAAGACCTAACATTAACATGAGAAGATGTTTATGCAGAGATTGACTTTAAGCTGAAGACGTATTTATGCGAATATCTTCTTAAAATAGTTACTGAAAAAAAATGTGGATCAAACTAAGCCAAAGACTCACCTTTACAACAAGTGTTTACGACGGAACCCACCAGGGATCCCAGCGCATCAAACTCCGCTTTGAACATGTGCAGTGAATTTGGGTCGGTAGCTATATTCCCTAGCTGTCTACTACAGTATCTATTACCCATTCCTATGGTAATGACAGTGACTCCTGAGTCTCTGAGCTCCTGAGCAGGAGCAGAAAATCTATCTGTTGACTTGCTGCCAGCCAAAAGACAAGCTATATTAGGAACACCAGGACGTGCGCTGGTATCAAAGAGAGCATTCTTAGCTTTCAAGAGAGCTTTCCCAATCATTGTTCCACCGCCTGGATACTGGATTCCATCAATTGCTGAAATCACCTCTGATTGGGTGTAATGCTGGTCGAATCCTGACACAACCTGCCAACAACAGTTCAATCTAAGCTGTGTTAGCACTGTATAATACCATACCCCACTTGTAAAAATACAATCTATCTTTCTGACCAGTGACGCAGACCTTTCTAAGGTTCGTTCCAAAAATATACGCGTAATGTGTAAAAAGCTAAGGTTGCCATGTTTTTGGCCTCGGAGCCTGTTTGTTTTGAAAGTTACTGTAAAGTGTTTTACAACCGCTTTGATTGTTCAAGAAATACATGAACTGGTAAAATTATTATTCTCTGTTATTTTCTTCCAATAAAATCGGATGGTTGGCTTCGTGCAAATCAGATTTGATACAAAAAATGTAAAACAATTTGCAGGGATTTAAAAGAAACTCATGACGATGGAAAGATTCTACCTTCGCGTTATCGTCAAAAACAATGACACCAACATGTGTTCCTTCACTAGAGACAGCAAAACGTCTGGTAAGATCTTTGACAAAATTCAGGATATTTTCAAACGTTCCTTGTCTGTTTCTTTCTATGCTTCCTGATCCATCGATAATGAAAGCAAGGTCAGCCTTTGCGTTGCATTCTACAAAAAGAGAAAGAAAGTATGATTTTGATGTTTGCTTGCGTCATAAGTCACTGGGATGCTGTAGAAAGAGAGGCTTATTAGTTGTCAGCGTTTTTGAGCGATTTTTCTCTGCTCATCTATCATGAACTAAGAAGGCATTTTCATTTTTTGTCTGCTTCCGAATTCAACTGCGAAATTTCCTCTGGACCTACCACTTGGTTTTAATTGAAGTCCTGAATATAATTTTTGAAGGGCTACCATCTAAAATACAATTGAAATAAACTAAAATAGAACTGACTGGTTTCGGAAAATTGTCATCGCTGATAACAGTCTGAATATCTTGCGACGGCCTACCTCCTCTAGATGAGCTGCTTCCTCCACCTGTAATCACACCTGATCCTCCTGTGCTGGACCCGCCAGTTATACCTACACCTTCCGTGTCCAGAAAGGTTGAAACAAAGAATCACTCTCAGCATATGATCAGAACATGAAACACCTCAGTCGGTGTCATGCAGTTTGGGTATTTACAACTATAGAATACTTGACTGTAGTAAGAGAGAGGCCCACTAAATTAGCCAGATCCCAGATACAGCAACCGTCAGTAAGGGTATGAACTTTATCAATACTTAAGGGGTCTCGTACCTCCTCCAGTAGAGCTGCCTCCTCCAGTAGAGCTACCTCCTCCTGTAGTGCTTCCTCCTCCAGTAGAGATACCTCCTCCAATAGAGATGCCTCCTCCAGTAGAGATGCCTCCTCCAGTAGAGATGCCTCCTCCAGCAGAGCTGCTTCCCCCACCTGTAATCATACCGGCTCCTCCTGTGCTCGATCCACTCGTGATCCCGACACCTATCGACGTTCATTAAAAAAACCTCATCCGTTTATGATTAATATATTATGACTCTGATGATGACGCTCAGTTTATTGAAACGTCAGTCACCATATACCGACGACAGTCCTTCTCAGGAATGCACTCACTGGGACTATTACGTGTTGAACATCATCAGAGATTTTTTGAGCACTAACAATTATGCATTAATCATTAATGGCAGGAAAAAAAAAAGTTCCAATGGTAGTAAGGGAATGATCGAAGGCAGCTAGAAGTTTTAATTGCAATCATTTCCAAGCAATTGTGGGGTGGCATCCTGCTAAAATATTACTGCTTCATTCAGAGGAATTCTCTCATACCTTGTGAGGAGCTACCGCCCCCCGCTGAGCTGCTTCCTCCGCTCGTAATCACACCAGATCCTCCTATGCTTGACCCGCCAGTTATGCCTACACGTGAACCATGATGAATAAGAATCACTTTCACTTTCAAAAAGAACGCTACAAACTGTCTTCGCAAGTTTGAGTACTTGCAATTGTGGAGCAAAGCAGACACAATGGCTAATCGCACATGCAGACTCCAATTTTGCTTTTGATATTAGTTTGTTCTTACGAACAAAAAGGTGTTTGTCATGCAAACCCCTATGAAAATGTATTTCATTTAACAATATCTAATTTCCATACCCTTTCCTATATATAGGGATATAGAACATGGTGAAAATGCGTAGACAATCTTGTGAGTTGACATATGGGACAATTATGATCGACCTAAAGTCTAACAAGAGAAGGTGATAAGACTGCGAGTTATACGTGTTTAATAAACGAATTGAAGTAACTTGCGCGGGGCATTCTCTGTGATCAAACTGAGGCAATACCTTTCGATGGATTTTGTGTTAACGATCCTCCCGCTCCTGCAAGAGGACAAATTTATAATTAATCCTTATCTATCATGTACTTACTGTGACGTAGGGCTCTCACTTGTTACTACTAGAGAAGTGATTATAATATTAAGGAATATTTTTCATGTCAGATAAAAAGCATGAAAATATCTAAGGATAAGTAATGTCTTTGATGCTTGAAAAATGTTGAGAAACGTTGAGAAATATTGATATTTAAATGAGTCTCATCACTTCATGTTGCTTTATTTATGACTGATACCACTTGAAAACTTAAACTGAATGCGATTTAAGGCAGCACTGAGACCTTCCTTAGCTCCCCCTCAAACAAAATCAAGGAAAGTGGGTGGTTATGTCGTTGATGTGCTAATTTATCCAGTAAATAGGATACCCATAATGCCCTAACTGACAGATTTTTAAATCTGATATTTTTTTTGAGACTAACGGCCTTGTCAACTGTTATTAGCCACCTAAATAGAAAATACTTCGAGGATGTAAAGCCAATTTAAGGACACTTATAGCCGGTTTAAGGAAATTTTACGAGACGAGTTTCTCACTTACCGTCGCATGCCATCTTTTTAATTTTCGGGAGTATCTGATCCAAATCATCAAAATCGCCTGTTATAACATGTGTAGCATCTGGGTCGGTTGCCATGGCGTCTAACTGGTCCTTGTCGTACCGGGTTCCAACTCCAAAACAAAAGATCGTTACTCCCATGTCTCGGAGCTTCTTAGAGGGTTCTTCCACATAGTCCTGTTTGTTCAATTGACAGACTTATTGATCTGTTTCATGGTTCAAACCAGTGAACGTAAAAACAAAGAGAACGAGAACAAAAAGCTCTAAAAAGAAAAGATTCTTTAAGTTAGGCTTGAGTTCTTGTGAAGGGGTCAGATTATTCTAAATCTTATGACAAACGAATAAGATATTTCTTTATCAAAAAGGAATGTTACTCGAAGACAACTTAAGTAGCTTTAAGGACAAGCTGGCTATCGGGAAGCACCTCACTATTGACTTACATAAAATTAGTATTCGT